CATATGTTAATAAATTATAAAAAAAATGTTTACAATAAAATTAGAATAAAAAGATGAATATTTTGATACACATGTGGTATACATGTATGTGTGGTGGTGTGATGGTATAGCAATTGTGAAACATGTGTAGTATACACATGTGGTGCCATATGTATGGTGGAACATTTGAAGTGATACATGTATGTTGGAACATGTATGTTGGAACATGAGTGATAGTATAGGTGTGGTGATGTATGTGTTATGGTATATGTGTGATGGTGTGTTGTGTGTGGTGTTATAAGTGTTGTGTTATATGTGTGATGGTATGTTGTGTGTGGTGGTACAAGTATTGTGGTATATGTGTGATGGTGTGCTGTGTGTGGTGGTACAAGTGTTGTGGTATATTTGTGATGATATGTTGTGTTTGTGGTGGTACAAGTGTTGTGGTATAGGTGTGATGGTGTGTTGTGTGTGTAGTGGTACAGGTGTTGTGGTATATGTGTGATGGTGTGTTGTGTGTGTGGTGTTACAAGTGTTGTGGTATATGTGTGATGATGTGTTGTGTGTGGTGGTACTAGTATTGTGGTATATGTGTGATGATATGTTGTGTTTGTGGTGGTACAAGTGTTGTGGTATATGTGTGATGGTGTGTTGTGTGTGGTGGTATAAGTGTTGTGGTATATTTGTGATGTTATGGTGTGTTTGTGGTGGTATAAGTGTTGTGGTATTTGTGTGATGGTGTGTTGTGTGTGGTGGTACAAGTGTTGTGGTATATGTGTGATGGTGTGTTGTGTGTGGGCGTAAAAGTATTGTGGTATATTTGTGATGTTATGTTGTGTTTGTGGTGGTACAAGTGTTGTGGTATATGTGTGATGGTGTGTTGTGTGTGTTGGTACAAGATTTGTGGTATATGTGTGATGGTGTGTTGTGTGTGTGGTGTTACAAGTGTTGTGGTATATGTGTGATGATGTGTTGTGTGTGGTGGTACTAGTATTGTGGTCTATTTGTGATGTTATGTTGTGTTTGTCGTGGTACAAGTGTTGTGGTATATGTGTGTTGATATGTTGTGTGTGGTACTAGTGTTGTGGTATATGTGTGATGGTGTGTTGTGTGTGGTGGTATAAGTGTTGTGGTATATGTGTGATGATATGTTGTGTGGTGGTACAGGTGTCGTGGTATATGTGTGATGGTGTGTTGTAGGTGGTGGTACAAGTGTTGTGGTATATGTGTGATGGTGTGTTGTAGGTGGTGGTACAAGTGTTGTGGTATATGTGTGATGGTATGTTGTGTGGTGGTACAAGTGTTGTGGTATATGTGTGATGGTGTGTTGTAGGTGGTGGTACAAGTGTTGTGGTATATGTGTGATGGTATGTTGTGTGTGTGGTGGTACAGGTGTGGTGGTATATGTGTGATGGTGTGTTGTGTGTGGTGGTACAAGTGTTGTGGTATATGTGTGATGGTGTGTTGTGTGTGGTGGTTAAGTGTTGTGGTATATGTGTGTGAAGTATTTTGTGTGTGTGGTGGTACAAGTGTTGTGGTATGTGTGTGATGGTATGTTGTGTTATATGTGTGATGGTATACTGTGTGTGGTGGTACAAATGTTGTGGTATATGTGTGATGGTATGTTGTGTGTGTAGTGGTACAAGTGTTGTGTTATATGTGTGATGGTATGTTGTGTGTGTGGTGTTACAAGTGTTGTGGTATATGTGTGATGGTATGTTGTGTGTGTGGTGGAACAAGTGTTGTGGTATATGTGTGATGGTGTGTTGTGTGTTGTGGTATAAGTGTTGTGGTATATGTGTGATGGTATGTTGTGTGTGGTGGTACAAGTGTTGTGGTATATGTGTGATGGTATGTTGTGTGGTGGTACAGGTGTTGTGGTATATGTGTGATAGTATACTGTGTGTGGTGGTACAAGTGTTGTGGTATATGACAGATGTGAGGTAGTAAACATTCATGTAGTTGTATGTTTCTCTACAGGTGAACATGGTGATATCATACCGAGATGCAAGTATCTCAGCAGAACTGAATGTAAAATACTAGACGTTTTCTGGTACACATCTACAAACATTTGTACAGCTCTGTATTTTATCATTATATGAGGTGGTAAGTTTCCACACTGAAGATTCATTATCCCTAATCTCTGGTTATCCATACCTCTGAAATTCCAAATGCAGTTTTCATAAAAGCTGATAGATTTCAATGACAAGTAAATTCTACACGTCATAAAGTTACTTACCCAAACATTTATCAAATACAAATTATCAATATACTATTTCATTACATCACAAATTGAACATATTTCAATATAATTCAGATAAACTATTTCAGTCAATATAATCAGTGTGTGGGGGATTATATACAGTGTGTACATGTATACTAGTGTGTGTGGGGGATTATATACAGTGTGTACATGTATACTAGTGTGTGTGTTGGGGGGATTATATACAGTGTGTACATGTATACGTGTGTGTGTGTGGGGGGGGGGGATTATATACAGTGTGTACATGTATACTAGTGTGTGTGTGGGGGATTATATACAGTGTGTACATGTATACGTGTGTGTGTGTGGGGGGGGGGGATTAGATACAGTGTGTACATGTATACTAGTGTGTGTGTTGGGGGGATTATATACAGTGTGTACATGTATACGTGTGTGTGTGGGGGGATTATATACAGTGTGTACATGTATACTAGTGTGTGTGTGGGGGATTATATACAGTGTGTACATGTATACTAGTGTGTGTGTGTGGGGATTATATACAGTGTGTACATGTATACGTGTGTGTGTGGGGGATTATATACAGTGTGTACATGTATACTAGTGTGTGTGGGGGATTATATACAGTGTGTACATGTATACTGTGTGTGGGGGTAGTGTGATTATATACAGTGTGTACATGTATACTAGTGTGTGGGGGGATTATATATACAGTACTAGTGTGTGTGTGGGTGTACATGATTATATACAGTGTGTACATGTAGTGTGTGTGTGGGGATTATATACAGTGTGTACATGTATACTAGTGTGTGTGGGGGATTATATACAGTGTGTACATGTATACTAGTGTGTGCGTGTGTTGGTGATTATATACAGTGTGTACATGTATACTAGTGTGTGGGGGGATTATATACAGTGTGTACATGTATACTAGAGTGTGTGGGGATTATATACAGTGTGTACATGTATACTAGTGTGTGTGGGGATTATATACAGTGTGTACATGTATACTAGTGTGTGTGTGTGGGGATTATATACAGTGTGTACATGTATACGTGTGTGTGTGGGGGATTATATACAGTGTGTACATGTATACTAGTGTGTGGGGATTATATACAGTGTGTACATGTATACTAGTGTGGGGGGATTATATACAGTGTGGGGGGATTATATACAGTGTGTACATGTATACTAGAGTGTGTGGGGATTATATACAGTGTGTACATGTATACTAGTGTGTGGGGGGATTATATACAGTGTGTACATGTATACAAGTGTGTGTGTTGGGGATTATATACAGTGTGTACATGTATACTAGTGTGTGGGGGGATTATATACAGTGTGTACATGTATACTAGTGTGTGTGTGGGGGGGATTATATACAGTGTGTACATGTATACTAGTGTGTGTATGGGGATTTATACTAGTGTGTGGGGATTATATACAGTGTGTACATGTACACTAGTGTGTGTGGGGATTATATACAGTGTGTACATGTATACGTGTGTGTGGGGGGGATTATATACAGTATGTACATGTATACTAGTGTGTGGGGATTATATACAGTGTGTACATGTATACTAGTGTGTGTGGGGATTATATACAGTGTGTACATGTATACTAGTGTGTGTGGGGATTATATACAGTGTGTACATGTATACTAGTGTGTGTGGGGATTATATACAGTGTGTACATGTATACTAGTGCGTGTGGGGATTATATACAGTGTGTGTGTGTGTTGGGGATTTTATACAGTGTGTACATATATACTAGTGTGTGTGGTGGGATTTTATACAGTGTGTACATGTATACTAATGTGTGGGGGGATTATATACAGTGTGTACATGTATACTAGTGTGTGTGGGGGGATTATATACAGTGTGTACATGTATACTAGTGTGTGGGGGGATTATATACAGTGTGTACAGGTATACTGGTGTGTGGGGGGATTATATACAGTGTGTACAGGTATACTAGTGTGTCTGGGGATTATATACAGTGTGTAAATGTATACTAGTGTGTGTGGGGATTATATACAGTGTGTACATGTATACTAATGTGTGGGGATTATATACCTATAGAGAGTGTACACATATGTGTGGGGGAGGTATATAGACTGCCCTACAAAGATTCTGTGAGTACTTTATCCCCCAACATCAATAAACAAGTGAATATTGTAATAATAGCCTGCTGCTCTGGTATAGTTGGTTATTTTTAGACACGTCTACATCTTTTGCAAGGAAGAAGTTTCGGTGTAAAAATTTTATTTACATTTACAATATATTAAAACTTAGCTTTTACACAAACTAAATCTGTGACAAATCCTTAACAGATTAAACTCCATACAAGAACCGACAGAAACATATGTTCATACATCTAACGATGAATTTAATTTGTTTGTACTGATGGAGTGCTTGCTCGCCACCCCCATCAAGTTAAATGAGTATAGCCTCTACACGTTATACAGACCGTAGAACAGCATCATTGAGGGATGTTGATGTAAATTTACTCTTATAAAAAAATACTCTTCAAGGTCAGAAATTGCTAACAAAAATACTGGGAAATTAAACCTAACCAACAGATAGAAAGTCAATCTAGGTTACACTTCATACAGAAAAAACATTAAATCTCATTCTTTTTAATGTTTTTTTCAAGGTCACTTCCCTAAAATATCTGGTAAATATATCATATTTCTTATGTAAACTATTCTTGATAAAATGTTCATATTTACCTACAAATAATAAAAATGATTCATAAATCTGTGTAAGTTACACCCCGAACTAATCAGTATAAATCTTACCTTTAGGTAGACGTTGGCCATTGTCAATTCCGTCTCCACAATCATCAAAACAATCCCACCCATCCCGAACACGAGACAATAGTCTGAGATTTTTCTCCTCCGTTCATACAATGTTTTCCTTTTTCCCAACCTGTATCCAACCGGATTCGGTTTACTGTTTTTAGTCTCCGGCTGTGGTTTTTGTTCCATACCATATTTCCCTTGCTCGCTGTTAACAACTAGAGCAGCCCCAGCATCTTCTGACGTATAGCTCATTTTCGAGGAAGTCGGAAGGGACTGCATTGATGTTGGTTTTTGCAGTTGTTTGAATGAGCCAATGGCTCCGTTAACTCGCATGTAGTCCGCTCCAATTTCGGATAAGATGGTGGACTCTTTTCCCTTTCCGTGACGTGCATCTTCCGATTTGCCATCATCAACGTGCGACCTCCCCTCCTCGTCTGAGGAATGCTGGTGAAGCCTATCTATGTGTGAACGCGATTGAGAATTACTAGTCATACTCGCTGTGCCGTTGTTGTCAGCATGTTGATTACTCGACTCTGACGGTTTAGTCTGTTGTTGCTGGTGGTTATTTTGGGACACATTCTGTTGTTGTTGTTGTTGTTGATTTTGTTCTTGTTGTTGTTGTTGTTGATTTTTGTGATGGTGGTGGTGGTGATGGTGGTGGTGATGGTGTCTGTCCGATTTCTCGGGTGTAATTGAACGGTCTTCAACGGGTGCCGGAAATGTATAGTTCTGTAGTTCAATGTCCGGAGAAGTATAAGCCTGGTTAATTTTTCCATCAATACCATGACCGGAACTATTTAAAGATGAAGTATCAAAATTCCGAGAGGAATCATTCTCCATTTCATCTTCATTTTGATCGCGTGTGTTTGTGCGGCTCTGAAGCCTGGCATCGTTCGTGATCTCGGCCGGCTCAGCAAATGCGACTGCAGTGTTCTGCCGAAGCAGCTGTTCAGTTGAATCGATCCGTCCCTTTTCATTGGCGGGCTCCACGTTCACAACTGCTGACATACTTGATACGACGCGCTAGTTTGTCGGCATATCGATCCTGGGTACCTTTCACATTAAACGCGTGAAGTGTAATGAGGTACTGTTGTCCGTCATTACTAAATTCAGTGACAATGATGCAAAGCAAAAGTTGTACTGTCTTTGAAGGCCTTTTTTAACCAGACGTTGAGCTTGCCGTTTTGTCTTTCAAATAGCATTTAACTTTAGAACGATTTGACTTCCAGTCAATTAGAATAGTTTACTATAAAAAGTAATGATAACCTGTTTCGTCTTCACTGAAATTTACCTCTTGATCACCGGATCTTTGAAACACAAAATGGTTAAAATAGCGTATTTTTTGCTTTTAAAATACTCCTCGGATGTAAATTTTAACAAGCGTGTTTCCTTGTTTCTATGGTCGAAGTTTTGGCACCGACACGACAGAATGAGCGTGATGTTGTTTAAAATAGATATGTGCCTAAGTAAGGTCTATCAGTGTCTTCACTACAGAACAGTCGGGCTCTGGAAAAAAAGGAAAAAATGATAAAAGTTTGGCTTCAGGAAGAAACGGACAACAAAAAATACCATACATACTTATACAAATGTGTATATTGCGAGAACGCCTTCATTAGTAAATATTGTTTGTTTATGTGTTTGACGGGTTGAATTTGAAAGAAAACCCGTTTAAATAAACATGTTTCAGTATGCTGTAGAAAGAATATACAGATGTTGAACGAGTTCAGTGAAAACATCGGAATCTGATGCTCTGAAATGTTCCAAGAGTTGTCAATCTTCCGATGTTTTCCCGAGTTCAAATGTGTTCCAAATGAAACCCGTCCATGTCTATTTTACTTACCGAAAGTTACATATGTGATTCACTTAATTTTTGTCAATTGTCCAAAACACTTAGATTTTTAAAAAAAATAATGTACATGTACTGTCATACTTGAGAGTCAATCAACTTGTCAAATTTTACGGTTATTAAACGTTACTGACATGTTAAGCCAATATCTAACAAGCACTTTGAAAATATTTCAAATTACTTACTAAGTGTTCCCAAATATACAGAAGATGTGAATAAAATGCAGAGTCTAGATAATGATTAAAGAGTTGCAAATTTAGACATAAAGTTTTGCATGGATTTTATGAAAGTTTCTAAAAGTGATTTCTTTGCTTAGATTGATGAAAAACAAACACATAAAAAAAACATATCGTAACATATATCATTATTAATTTCGAAGCCTCCGCTAGGATTTGAACCCCGTACCTCTGGCGTACTAATCTAACGCTCAACTGATACAGGTAAAGGGAATTTCTCTCTAGCCGAGCGGTATATTGCGGCTAATATTTACCAGAGTTATACTGTATTGCGGGTATGGGAACTGATCTACAAATACATACAAAAGACAATGAATTCAATAAATTCTTATTAGGAAAGTTATTCTGAAGAAAACTACAGACAAAATCAAATTATATGCCGAAAAATTGGAGTTAAATTACACCGTTTCTATTCTCAAATAGTAAAAGTTTAATTCACCATAAAAATTGATGTAGTTAATTTGCTACAAAATCTACAGATCGAATTCCCACCAGATATTCAGTCGTTTCGTAAAGCAGAGTTACCTGCTCTTAAAGCAAGTGTTGATTACAACGTCAATTGTGAGAGTAATGCCAAAAATAAACGCCGTGGTTTCCTCACGCGCAAAGTAAACTGCAAAAATATTTTTTCTTGTCATTTTGTTGGTTTGTTTGTGTTTGTTTTTGTCTTTTCGATTACATTATTCCGCGATGAGCGAGCTTTAAACCAGCTAGAGGTTTTTTTCTTCTCTTTTAAGGAGTGGGGGGGGGGGAGTCTACAGGATCACACCACCAAAAACAAATCGCTAAAACATGTTACAAATCGGGTAAGAGATAATGGAAGGGATTGGGGTTAGAGGGTAGCAAATACATTTTGAGAAATTTATATTATCCGAGATTCAGGAGATTGCCTCTTACATTCCTATAAACCGGAGCGTTCATCTTTGATTCTCCAACGCCCCCTGAGCACGAGAAACATCGGAGAACTACATCTAATCCTACATGCGAGTTGGAGGCAGAGAAAGGACAACGACACCGAGTTCATGTACTCGTTAATTTAAAAACAAAAATAAGTAATTAACGTCAATGCGTTGTCTTAAGTAGTGCTTGCAAACCTGAAAACCAACATACAAAAACAGTGAAGAAATGTAATGTTTGTCACTCTGCAAACGTCCACGACTTTTCACTACAAATCGAACAAGATAATTAGGCTAGCAATTACGTACAAAGAGATACAACAAAACTGTTTCTAAACAAAAAGCTGTATGTAAATGTTCCTGTGCCAGTAATGAATACAGTCGTCAACTGAAGACGACGCCATCTTGATTGTTTTCACTGGTGCAGAATAGCCAAGACAACGATTAAGGAAATAGACATTGTCATTAGGTTGAGATCGGCAAAGGAAAAAAACACAAGACATGAAGTGACAAGATACCTTAAGTATTGGCATTTGAGCGCCCAAGAGTGTGTTCCCTTAAGTAATGAGATTTCAGCCCCCGTGTAGTGTGTGCAATTCGCATATCATATATTCTCGTATCCATTAACGAGTTTTGACGGCAAACGTACAGAGAAACAAGATCTGACGTTCTAATATACAATTCATATCCTGTGACAAAGATCCGGAATGCTATTCTATTATATCTTACAAAGTTATGGATACCTAGTTAAATACCAAGGAATCGTTCACACACTATTACATATTCGACCCGACCCAGCGCCCACCACTACTAACTTACAGTGCGAATACGGTGAGTGATGATCCGGATCATGTGCACTTGTTTCATGATCAAAGCGATTGATAACAACAAGGAATATGTATACCTTATACGAACAATATATGACCTATATATATGTAGGTAGGGGGTTAGAGAACCCCGGGTTAATTACGTCCATAGGTACAGGTACAAGATCTATAGCCATATTTAATTGGAATATCGACTGATTCAAGTCAGCGAACTGCAAAAATCCAATGTATTGAAGTCCTCAAATTTCCAAATGTATATTAACACATGTATATATATATAAGATAATTATGTGTATGTGTTTTGAAGTTTTCTTTTTTCTTCCGTAAGTTTGGTGAGAATTTAAGTCGTAAAGCACCCATGCTCAACTTTGCTGTGAAACCTAATTTGTGTGGATATATTGGTTCGTTTAATGAGCACGTTGTTCTGGACATTGTAATTTGCATAGATTTTAGCTTTGTTATGAGGAATCTGATTTTGTAGTGCGGGAAAGCGTACAGTCCGCACGTTTTATTGCGAACACATTGGTTTGGTAGTGCGGGAAAGCGTACAGTCCGCACGTTTTATTGCGAACACATTGGTTTGGTAGTGCGGGAAAGCGTACAGTCCGCACGTTTTATTGCGAACACATTGGTATGGTAGTGCGGGAAAGCGTACAGTCCGCACGTTTTATTGCGAACACATTGGTTTGGTAGTGCGGGAAAGCGTACAGTCCGCACGTTTTATTGCGAACACATTGGTTTGGTAGTGCGGGAAAGCGTACAGTCCGCACGTTTTATTGCGAACACATTGGTATGGTAGTGCGGGAAAGCGTACAGTCCGCACGTTTTATTGTGAACACATTGGTATGGTAGTGCGGGAAAGCGTACAGTCCGCACGTTTTATTGCGAACACATTGGTTTGGCAGTGCGGGAAAGCGTACAGTCCGCACGTTTCATTGCGAACACATTGGTTTGGCAGTGCGGGAAAGCGTACAGTCCGCACGTTTTATTGCGAACACATTGGTTTGGTAGTGCGGGAAAGGGTAGTCTGCACATTTCAATACGAACGCATTGGTTTGGCAGTGCGGGAAAGGGTAGTCTGCACATTTCAATGCGGACACATTGGTTTGGCAGTGCGGGAAAGGGTAGTCTGCACATTTCAATGCGGACACATTGGTTTGGCATTGCGGGAAAGGGTAGTCTGCACATTTCAATGCGGACACATTGGTTGTTTGGCAGTGCGGGAAAGGGTAGTCTGCACATTTCAATGCGGACACTTGGTTTGGCAGTGCGGGAAAGGGTAGTCCGCACATTTTATTGCGGACACATTGGTTTGGCAGTGCGGGAAAGGGTAGTCTGCACATTTTATTGCAGACACATTGGTTTGGCAGTGCGGGAAAGAGTAGTCTGCACATTTTATTGCGGACACATTGGTTTGGCAGTGCGGGAAAGGGTAGTCTGCACATTTCAATGCGAACACATTGGTATGGTAGTGCGGGAAAGCGTACAGTCCGCACGTTTTATTGCGAACACATTGGTATGGTAGTGCGGGAAAGCGTACAGTCCACACGTTTTATTGCGAACACATTGGTTTGGTAGTGCGGGAAAGCGTACAGTCCGCACGTTTTATTGCGAACACATTGGTTTGGTAGTGCGGGAAAGCGTACAGTCCGCACGTTTTATTGCGAACACATTGGTTTGGCAGTGCGGGAAAGCGTACAGTCCGCACGTTTTATTGCGAACACATTGGTTTGGCAGTGCGGGAAAGCGTACAGTCCGCACGTTTTATTGCGAACACATTGGTTTGGTAGTGCGGGAAAGCGTACAGTCCGCACGTTTTATTGCGAACACATTGGTTTGGTAGTGCGGGAAAGCGTACAGTCCGCACGTTTTATTGCGAACACATTGGTATGGCAGTGCGGGAAAGCGTACAGTCCGCACGTTTTATTGCGAACACATTGGTTTGGCAGTGCGGGAAAGCGTACAGTCCGCACGTTTCATTGCGAACACATTGGTTTGGCAGTGCGGGAAAGCGTACAGTCCGCACGTTTTATTGCGAACACATTGGTTTGGTAGTGCGGGAAAGGGTAGTCTGCACATTTCAATACGAACGCATTGGTTTGGCAGTGCGGGAAAGGGTAGTCTGCACATTTCAATGCGGACACATTGGTTTGGCAGTGCGGGAAAGGGTAGTCTGCACATTTCAATGCGGACACATTGGTTT